ACTCTCACACTGGTGGAGTGATTTTCACTGAATGTTTATCTGTGATCTAACTTAATGATGTCCCCATCTTTGACACAAACATTTCCTCCATCCTCAGGCCTGCCAGGTGAGGACGGACAGGCAGCCAGGGCCCCTCTGGTCGGCCCTGCAACCCAGGGACATCGGGGAGGCAGGGGAATCCTGGTTTCAACGGGACCAGACGGCCCCCCGGGGTACTGCGACCAGAACTCCTGCATCGGGTAACAACGTCGGAGGTAAGCATCATTCAGCTGCTATTTAAACACTGGGGACACTTTAGTTTAAAAAAAACCTATTTAACCATATTATTCATCTAATAAATAGTTTATAAAACTACTTAACATAGATAAGAGGTACTTTATTGATCCCAAATTGGGATATTTTATTATTTTTGCCGTTTGCCAGCAGCATAAAAAACATACAAAACAAAAAAAGACATTGCCACATAAGTAGAATTAAAGAGTAGAAATAAACAATACTAGAATTTAAACCATCTCCAAAATAGAATTAAAGCAGCATTAAAAAGTAGAAATATATACAGTAGACCGTGAAGATATCATTTAGTTGAGAGCATATGAGGAAGACAGAAGGGCTATCACAATTAAAAACATAACCAAATATTCAAAATCCACACAGTACTCAGGAGGGTCAGGCTGTTTCAAATGAACTAAAATAACCATTTTGCCTGACATATTTGACCAGAAGTAGTAAAAACACCAAAATATCCAGACTTTTGCAACTGAGCATTAACTTTATCCCTCTCACTGAAATTTAGAAAAAGACTTGTTGAGGACAACCATCAGTGTTGTTTTTATTGTTATATGTGCTCGTTTATCAACAGTAACAGCTGACACAGTCTAACCCTGCCCAGTCTTTCCATCTTATAAACCATATTTTACATGTTTAAAAGACTAAAATACTGTTTCAGTTAGTGACAGCGGGCTGTGTGATAGTTATTGTTCTCATAAAGCTCTCAGAGAATTGGAGAGTGATCTGGCTTTATAGTTGTTCCACTGTGAAGTTACACCTTCATGTCCACGCTGATGTGAAGTGAACTGTGTCACTGACCAAAGCTATTTTGCTCTATATTAGATGTCGTAAAACATGCTGTTAGCCACTACATTCATAGTGAATAGGAACTTTATGGATTGTATTGTCTTAGGCCAGAAATAAAACAGTTCTAACAGCTTCTGACTAGTCATGTTAAGGAAACATCATCTGCTAAAAGTAGCAGATGACTGAGACATCACTTCCTCCATCAACCAGATTTATTTTATATAAATGTATTCCAGTCAAATGTTTCTTTTTTGTTTTATGATTTAGGAGAGTCTCGCCTGTTAATCTCAACCAAGCAAGGACTAGCTGTTGCCTCCCTTACCACAATACGAGGAAAATACAATATCATTTCAGCTGCGTTTGACTTTATATTTGGCTTTGTCATTGTGACTATCAAAGAAATATTTCAGTTGACAAATATTTCTCGATAGATATGAGGTCTTATTAGAATCAATACAAACATCATTGTATAATATGCCATAAACATGTGTCATAAAAGATGTTGAAGTAATATTAATGATTTAAAATATCATAGTTAACTATACAGATGAATAAGAGGTATGGACCAAAAATGTGCCGCTCAATAGACAAAAATAGTAACTGTTGAATACTTTCATAATTATGTCATAGGTTATATTTCTCAAAATATAATTCACTTAAATTAATTGTAATGTTATCTGCACATGTTATAGTCACTTTCAAATGAGTATGCAGTCTTTCAACACATATTACTTAAAGTATTATGTGGTAAATCACTGTAATTATGAAACGGCAGAACATTGTATTATTTATTATATCATTGTATTTATTTTTCACTCACAGAGCATGTTATTTTTACAACCTTTGTCGTTACTACCGATTTCTGTTGGACATCTTTATTTATACTTTCTTGTGTACAGAAAGTGGAATAAAGATCTGACATTTGTTTTCCTCCTCCCAAACATTTTATTTGAATATCTTAATATTTCAATGGGAGAAATGTTTTGTAATCCTCAGGGTGTGTGCATTTCTTCCTCTAAAGAGAGAAGCAGAAATCCAACACTCATTTTTCTACTTCAAAACTGCAACAGTGGGGGCCGTTCTGTCTTTGGTGTGTTTGGGTTTTCCTCCTGATGTGAGGTGTAACATCTCCTCCCTGTGTCCCCCCCCCCCCCCCCCCCCCCCCCCTCCCTGTGTCCCTTCCTCTTTCTGCCTGAAGCTCAACAGGACTATGGGAATGATTACTGAGGAACATTTCTTCAACCGCCCTCCTCTCCTCACCTCCTCCACGCCCTGTACAAAACACTAAAAACTGAGGAAACGTATAAGTTACTCCTACAAGGCCACCATATTAGTGGATAATTACGACTCGTGACCCCAGTGTTTAACC